AATAATCCGTTTGAGCTAAGCATTACGCGAAAAACAACCAGAATATGAGACAGCATAAGTGATCTTGCTTTATGACAATGCTCGACTTCACGTCACAGAACTTGTTAAAGAAACGTTAGAAGCACTTTGTTGGGAAGTGCTACCCCATGCGGCTAGATCGTGCCCTTTCCGACTACCGCTTGTTTCAGTCAATGGCACACGCATTTGCAGAGGAACACTTCAACTCTTATGAAGACGTCGAAAAATGAGTCTCTAACTGGATAGTCTCTAAAGATGAGTCGTTCTTTCAATATGGTATCTGCTTATTACCAGGAAGATCGGAAAAAGTCGTATGTAATGATCAATATTTTAATTGATAAATTTTTTTATTTGTGTTTTAAAAAAAGGCTTAATTTTTGCAAAAAAAGGTTTCAAGTTATAAACTTAATATAACTGGAATACGATTTCTATTATATCTACATAATTTTAATCTAAAGTGGTTATATATTTATATAATACTGCAAATTTACTACAAAATTTCACCAAATTATTATAAAATATTTTTACATGAAGTACATTAGATATTTAGAAAATATCAAAAAAATTATCCGTTCTAATACGTTCACTTGAAGTTTATCAAAGTTGAATAACGCTTGAATTACTTCAGTTACGTGAGCAGAAGATAATTTGTAACACCGGTGTGAACTGGCGCTCGACTTTGTCAAAAATAAATATTGATAGCTTAGCGCGTTTGTATCTCAAAGAGTTCGGAGATAAATGAATTATAAAAAATAGCCAACACCCAACTTCAAAATTTTTTAATGTCGTTTATGCTATTCGAAATAGAATCGTTTGTACCCGTTTGTACCTCCTTCATTTTCATTTGTACCTCTAAGGGCTCGGAGATATAGCGTTTTTTAATTTTGCGCAACTTCTATATAGCGAATTTAACCAATTTTTTAAATATTGAAATAGGACCAACGGCATTAAAAAAAGAATTGTTTGTATTAGACTTGTTTGTATCTCAAGGGGTTTGGAAATACAGCTTTTTCAAACTTTCGGGAAAACTTTTCAAGAAGGTAAGTCGGCTATTTTAAGAGATATTGAAAGGCGACCAACGGTATTCGAAAGAGAACTGTTTATATCTCCTTCGTTTTCGTTTGTATCTCCTTCGTTTTCGTTTGTACCTTAAAGAGTTCGGAAATACAGCATTTTTCAGTTTTTCCGCAATTTCTATATACCGAACTTAGCCATTTTAAAAGATATCATATAGAAGATATTAAGATAACAAAGATTGTAAGTCCGATATATCAGTAGGTATATGTATGTGCAGGGGAATCTATCGTACTATCAATTCCATGAGCATTATGCAAATGTTGAGGAAATCTATCGGATCCATGGAAGGACAACAAGTATAGTCACCACGTATCTGCCAAAATGCAACGGACTTGGAAGAAGATCTATAAAGATCTACATACAGGGTCATCAAAAAGTACGGAAACGGTTGAATATCTTGAAAACGAAGCATTTTGGAGAAAAATGTTTCAGACAAGAATTGTAGGGTTTAATATGATGTATTTACTGATCTAATCAGTTTGACCTTGGATGGCGTCGCCAAGATCAGATCAAGGTCACATAGATTTTTTTAAATAGAACTCCCTATTTTTTATTACATTTTCTTGTAGCTTACCTCAAGAGCTTTTCAAAACACTATAATAAAATATTTTTCCATTAAATATTTTTCGAGTTATAAGGCTCGAAAGTTACAGTACCGTCGGCATTAGCATTACCCAAAGTGCACCACGTGGAGGTTGCACGGTCGGATTTACACCTTTTGTGTGTGTGTGTGCGTGCGTGATGCGTGCCCTCTCTGAGCCCTTTGAGGTACGAAAATGGAGAAGGTACAAACGGGTACAAACAATTCTGTTTCGAATAGCATATGTAAATGACATTAAAAAATCTTGAAGTTGAGCGTTGGCTATTTTTTATAATCCACTTATCTTTGTATTCTTTGAGGTACAAACGAAATAAAGGTCGATACAAACAGGTATAAACGAAGTACAAACGCGCTACGCTATCAATTTTTATTTTTGATAAAATCGGGCGTCAAGTTCACACCAGTATTTGCAATATTGTCTTAAGTAATACCTATCTCGTAATTCTCATGTTGAGTACGAATAAAATTGTTTGTGGTAATTATTAAAATTTTTCTTGCAATATTATAGAAAAAAATCGTTTTTAATTTAATAGTTAAATCTGTTTTAATATTATGATATCGCAAAAGAATATTATGTGGTTTTACATGTGTCTCAAGAAATAAAATATAAATTCTCTCTTAACACGCGGATCCACATTCAAAATTATTTTGTCGTTTGCTCCTGACTCGTACGTATTCAAAGTTGCGAATGACACGTGTCGGATTTCAGAATCACGACTCGCGACAAAGATGTCACTTCGACTAGATCACCAGTAGTGCTCAATCAGCGGTGCGCAAAATATGGGAACAATCGCGTGATCGAGCGATTATTGCAATGTTGCGCAAGAGAAGCTCGAGGTTATTTGTTCATGTTCATTCTTATTTCACCTCGTGAGTGAGTCACTTGCTCGACGAACGAAACCGACGAGATCAGTTGCAGTGACACTCATTCTATCGAACTAGACACCGTTGTTTTGAGTGATTTCTGTTTTGGATAAATGCTCAATTTTAAGAATTGATAATTTCACAGTATATTTTATTACAGAGTATCATATTCTAGTTCATTGAATGTAGAAAAGAAAATTATATAGAAGAAAACTGTAATTACAAAATTTAATCCTTCGTCGGTAAATTTTATTGGGAGTACAAATTAGTTCGGTACGTTTTCCAAAAGATGATCGCCTCCAAAGACGAGTCATTTTTTCGAGATGTAATTCGAAAAAATTGCCTGAGAGATGGGAAAAAGTAGTAGCCAGCGATGGACAATACTTCAATTAATCTGTTCATTTATTTTGTTTTGAAATAGAAGCATTTTTGAACACAAAAAACGAACCGAACTAATTGGTACACCAATATATCATACCCTCCCTCAACCTATCTGGATCATTAAGTTTCAGTGCAGTTTTTTATAATATTGTTCCGGATTGTAAAAAATCTGAAAAAATCTTACATACTTGTAAAAGCTTAATGAGTTTTATTATTTAAAAAATCGGATTATATTTTACTTATATTTTAAATTTAAATAAATTTAAATTTATTATAATCACAATTTTCAAAATCAAAATATCCACTGTATATTCAAAATCCACTTAATCGGTGGAAGATTCATTTATAATATATTTTAGTTTTATAAAACCAATTAAATTCATTTTTTTGAGCTATAATTGGTGATAATATAGTTCGTACTTATTGAAGCAAGTGGTTCATTCGTATTACTCGCTTGATCAAGATCTGACTTAAAAAAGTAGTTTTGGCATTAACCAGACTCATAATTATATGAATTTTTCGTTATTGTTTTAATCAATTGAAAATGTATGCACTAAGATAATTTGATCAAGATCAAAACGTATTTTATTTTTTAATGATTATATCTGCATTCGTATTTCTATATTTTGTGTACAGGTTTTCGCATGTATTGAATATGCAATATGTTTAATATTATTAATAATATAATAATACAATTATTATATTAAATTTTTAACATTAAACAATGCAGAGGTCAATTTAGAAATACATAATTATTCTTTGGAGATAATTTTAATATTTTAATTAAGAATAAGTGAAAAGAACTACATGAGCCATCCCTGTGGTAAGCAGCTTTTACATTCGTATTTAATTGTTGTCGCATAAAGAAAAAATTGTGCAAAAAATAAAAGAAATTGCTGTATTTTAGTTATACCTTTTAGTCTGACGAAAACGACCACAAACAGTCATGTCGTGCGTTTAATATTACGCGAAATGGTCGCGAAAGATTTTAACCAACTAAGTAGATAGCAATTTGTTAGGACTAGAGAATTTTTATTAGCCGTTTATTGTACCGTACGCGCGCGCGCATCCTTTTTCCATCGAGTGTTTTCTTTCGAGACAATCGAGAGAACTCAACATTCGTTTCAGTATGGTCATTATGCTGGTCCGACAATTCTCATTATGATCCATTAGTTGAACGCCTACCAACAATTTAGGACACCGTATAGATCTGAGATATTAGACGTCTCGATTACTCTTCGTATAGTATCGGTCCGTAGGAATCGAATTTGTTGCACGACGTTTCACCGTTTTATTGCAACTCAGTACGATTGCTAAAAGCTAGGCGGGCTAACCTTTTTAGACCCGTGTTTATTGTCGCATTTCTGCTGAAAAAATTGACTGAAATCAATTTTGAGATGCGACACGATTTAATAAATGATCTTGAAACTCTTTCAGTCAAATAATGAATGTTACCTTATATTTGCAATCGCAATTCAACTGAAATACACAGATAAAATCTATCTTAAGACATTATAATTCGAGTTCTGTCTTATTACAATACAGTAATTGATTTTTGAGAAATGATTGTTTATGTACATATTTGTGATTTTTAAATCTTGTGTAACTGGAAGAAAATGTAAATATTAGTCAAACATTAAAGAGAGAGTGAGAGAGAAGGAGAGGGAGAGAGGGGGGAGGGGAGGGA